GGGCTGGCGGAGAAACGGACGAGGCGTCTCTCGAGGGAGCGGGGCTGGCGAGGAATGGACTGTTTGAAAAGTGACTGGTAAAAGGTGACTTTCTGTGGGCTGGTCCCCAGTCGCGGAAACCCTGCGTCTTGCAGCTCGAACGGCGGAGGCCCACCAAACCCTTATGGCGTCTGTACCGTCCAGTAGTTCAGTCCAGCATCTGTGAAAGGCGTAGCATCTGTTGACTGTTATCACAACTGAATACATTGGGGTGCCGACAGTGCGGGGGATAAGCCAAGCACGTCTAAGAAGTCAGAGATACGGGATTCGATTCCATTCCTCGAAGTCCCCGCCCTTACTCCCAGGGTAAGAAGCGGGCTACTTCACATATCCTCAGCAGCTGAGTGGGCCATAAAGGCGCGATAAAGACAACTAAATAACTAGATACATCCACCCCAGAGCGCGCAACCATATACCCTGATGAATAAGTTGGTAGCGCCCATGGAGGGCCCGATGCTTGCAGACCATCCCTTCGTTTCAGTCACCACCGTACAGGGAACGCAGGTGCAGAATTGTGTCCGACATGCTACCATGATGGTGTGTCATCATATCTGATGTGATACTCATACTCTGATTCGATGCCATACTCAGTTTTGAAACACCTCACCGAGCTGAAGGAGGCAGGTGAATGCTGGGATATGCATGCCAATACTGACGCCGGAATTCCGGGAAATCAGGAACTTAAATCAATCCCGACCGTGAAAGTTATAGCTTTCCAGCCCACAAGCATACAACTGTGCAAGGGATTCTTTTTTACAGCGAACTTCTGCAACATTTTGAGCCTAGCCTAATTGTAGAAGGAAAGTATACAGTCAATGATACCTTGGTTAGGTCATTGCATCACATAGCATTATTGCTGAGCTTGAGCAGAGGTGACATGGGTCCAGATAAAGGTGCATGATAACCAGTCCAGCCCAGGACTATTATCCTACCCTCCCCACTTCCTGGATGACAATGTCTTCCCCAAGGCCCTGCAGCCCAAGATATACCAACATTATACTCACCCGGTAGCTAACTCTCTTTTCCACATTAAATGCGAAACCCATGCTCCCCACTGACTACCAACCAACCGACCCTGCCCTACCGCCTCGACCGCATCCTCGGAGCAACTGCAAATTGGGATCCCAGAATGGTGTAGGTTTTCTGCTTCCGTCGAACGCCGCTTGAGCCTTGGGTTACCCGCCTGCAATGCTTAGCATCTAAGCGTACGAAGCTTCGCGGAGCTGGGTACGAATCGCCGCTACATACCGATCACCTTTTCGTCAGAATTCGTACTAAATGTTCTCGAGGACGTGTTGGACAGTCATAGCCACCAGATGCCGATGACATCACTAGGGAAGGGACTAAACGACCGACCAAACCCGTTGACAGCCCTATGCTCCGAGCCTATGACACCGAGCGACATGAAATATTCGCCATTCTATGTCACATGATCGATAACCATTCCTTTCCAAAACATGGTGACATTGGGTCAGATTGAAGACTACCAAAAATACCTCAAACCGGAAAAATGAGTTTGCGCACAACCCCATGGTCCGAACCCATGGAACCGACCAGCATGAAATCTTCGTCAATCCATGTGCCATAGTCGACATATTACCCTTTCCAGAACACGGTGACCTTGAGTTTGGTCAAAGGTCACCAACAACGCCCAAAACAACCAAAACTGGCTGCAGACAACCCCATGCTCCGAGCCTATAAGACTGATCGGCATCAAACTTTTACCAAACGATGTGTTGTTATCGATAACCTGTCCTTTTCAAAACATGGTGACCTGGGGTCGAGTCGAAGGCCACCAAAAAAGGCCAACACCATGTGAAATCAGTTGCAAACAACGCCACGCTCCGAGCATAAGGAACCGATGGGCACCAAACCTTCACCAATCGATGTTCCATAGTCATCAACTTATCCTTTCCAGAACATGATGACTGGGTTGGGTCAAAGGTCACCAAAAACACCTAAAGGCACCAAACCTGGCTGCAGGCAACTCTATGCTCCAAGCATATGTCCCCCCCCCCCCCCCCACCCCAGCATGAAACCTTCACCACTTGATGCGCCATGGTCAAAATCCTATCTTTTCCACCACATGGTGCCATTGATCCAGGTCAAAGGTTATCAAAGATACCAAAGACCGGAAAAAGGGTTGCAGACAACCTCATGCTCCAAGCCTTAGGAATCGACCGGCATGAAACCTTCGCGAATCGATGCGCCATAGTTGGTATCCTTTCCCGTCCAGAACTGATCGGTCCCATAGCCCTGGATCATGTAGTTGTCTGTAACCATATTTTCAAAGTTCTGGGCATTTTGGTAATATTTGACGTAGCTCAAACTCACTACGTTCTGGAAAGGATAGGATATAGCCTATTGCGTGTCGATTGGGGAAGGTTTCATGCTGATCGATCATATACGCTCGCAGTATGGGGTTGTCTGCAGCCCATGTTGGTGGTTTGAAAACTTTTGGTAATCTTTTACCTAACTCAAGGTCACCATGTTATGGAAAGGATAGGATATCATCTATAGCGCATCGATTGGTGAATATTGCATGCTGACCGGTTCCATAGGCTCGGAGCATTGGGGTGCCCGCATACAATTTTGGTGGTTTTGAGCGTTGTTGGTGACATTTAGCCTAAGCCAAGGTCATCGTGTTCTGAAAAGGATAGACCATCTAATATGGCGCATTGATTGACGGAGGCTTCATGCTGAGCGGTTCCACAGGATGAAGTTATATACAAACATATTTTGCCGTTTTTGGGTATTTTTGTTGACGTTTGGCCTGACCTAAGGTCACCGTGTTCTGAACAGCATAGGTCATCGACCAAGTGACAACGAATGGTGAAGGTTTCACGTCGATCGGCGCCGTAGGCTCGGAGCACAGGGCTGTCAACAGGTTTGGTCGGCCGTTTAGTTCCTTTAATCCCCTCCGACCGGATAAACATGAGCTTTGGGATAACCCATCGTAGTGACCAGTGACGCAGACAGGGGAAGGGCCGCAGAGGGCACGTGCCCCTCCCCCGCCTGAACAATTTCCCGCTCTGTCGGACCCCGGCCTGCAGGACTGGGCATTCCAGTGTCCCTTGCGTCGACCGGGGGCCACCTGAGCGATAACGGCCTCTATGTTGACCAGGCACCACCAGCCCGCGGTTTCGGCTCCGTATGAGTACGGGCCTGAAGGCTCGATTTTGGCGCCGTTCAGGAAATGGGTTAGTCACGGGTTGCAAGTGCTGATGTGCACTACTTAACACGTGGATGTGTTGAATACCGAGCCATATCGCGCTCCGACCATTTGACTAGGCCATCGAAGACATGGAGAGGAGAAGCGGTCAGGCGCCTTGTAACACGACAGTTCACCTCAGTCTCATCCGCGAACATCTTGACCGCACCTCGCACTTCTGGTAGTCGCTGGTGAAGATAGTGAACAGGATTGGGCCTAGCACCAATTCTTGAGCGGTAACGCTGGCGGCATCGGCCCACTCATACTTCGAGCCATAGACCCGCACTCCCTGCTGCTGGATGGAAACATACTTTACCTTTGCAGCTTTGTCTACAACTTTAAAGAGCTGCGTGATGTCACGGTCGATTTATCGTCCAGCTTCAAGTGTTATGCTTCGGAAGGTCTCCCAGCACCTGCGAGCTGGCATAGCATGTGACCGAGTTGACATGACAAAGGAAGACAGGTCTTGTCACACTAGCATCATTAGACGGAGGTATGATTTAGTACCAAATCTGAAATGCACGAAAACCGGGAAGAACAGGAGCAAACCCCATCGTTTGTCGTCAGGTCTGTCAAAAATAAACTGCGAATGCTACCCTGAAAGCGACACGTAAGCTGCATTTCACGTACCAGCAGTGCAGTGTTCAGATTCGATCCTACTCCCATCGCAACGGTACATTACTACACCTTATCCATCAACGCCCTGCGGCCAGAACCAGATCATGTGCCATTCGCCCCCCCCCCCCCCCGCCCCCGCCGGGCTGTCCCTGGGTGACGTGTCTGGTGACGAGGCGCCAGTTGGGGTTCTCCAGTCATGTGTCGTCGGTGGGGGCTGCCCCTGTGCTGGCGACACATCCGGCTGAGTGTCGGTGCGTCGCAGCGGCGGCGGGAATAAACAAATAAGGCATGGGTTGTGTGTCTCGTGGCGTACGTTATGACGTGTTTCTAAATTTCGATATGATCCGTTCAGTCACATCGCTCACTTTTGGTGACCACTTTGTGCACTTTTTCCGATGCTGTGGTTTTCATTTACATATGGCTAAGCAGACGTACCCAAGGTTTAACCCATCACTGACCTAGCGGTCAAACTAAGTGACCGAGAGAAAAGAAGATTGCAGATTCGTGAATAACTCGACGGGCTTGACCTGGGGAGACTGCTATTGGAAATCTGAATTTAACACCGAATTCGAATACAAAAGCGATGCCGACTTGACAGACATATAACAACCTACTTTGCAGTACTTTGTTGCCGCAAACAGTGTTGAACCCGCTGCTTTGTTAGGACGCACAACCCTGAACATTTCTGGACCTCTGGGTCTCCCAATATCTTGACCCGACACTCCACTCATTTCCATTCAGTGAATAGACCACTGCACTTCGACAATGTGTCTCATTTTGCGATCGAACACCGGGAAGATGTCGAAAATTCACGTCAGTAGCCGAAAAACTGCGTTCAAGTTGTTCACACCGCACGTGGCGCGCTGAGCGCATCGTGTGACTAATCACATGGTGAAGCGGTCGCAACATAAACGATTCGTAGCAGTTATGCCAAAGCAAAGACAGCAACGCGCAAAAGGCCAGGCGAGCGACGGACGTCACGGGACACCCTTCCGCCACGCTTGCTGCACCGATACACTGTTTGCTTGCTTTTTCCAACCGGGAAACGTTTCCCGGCCTGCCCGGACTAGGCCTGCCGGGGAATATGCCGAGTCTTACGTACTGCGTTCCGCTGCCTCTGGATAAAATCATCTCACGTAATGGTGAATATATTTGGTAGGCGTACAACCCGGGGTTCAGGTGAGAAAATAGATATACGCATGGGTAGCAATCGGTTGTGTTCACCATGATGTACAATGCGGGAAAGGTGACTATAAACATGTAACGTGCACAGCCACGGCTAGAATACACGCGCTCGTCAGTCTGTCACCGTCCAATGGACACTCGCTGACCGGAGGCATGCAAAAATACTAACGCGTGCTAGTTTCACCAGACAGATCAAAGACACCCGTCATAAATACTCGCTAGGATCGGGCAAGGCTGAAACATTGCCTTCCTTCAATCAGGAACCCAACAATAATTGGCGCCAATACATGATTCGGGTAAGTAATACTTCCGTGCAGAATACAGTGTAAACGCACCCACATCACGCTGAACATGAGTTAAAACCAATGCACAGTCGGAGAAGAGCACAGTACCCTCTCAGCAGCCGGCCAGTGAGCCGACGCACGCCAGGCAAGTGGAGTCAGACCACCTAGTATTTCACGGCGCGGTCTGGATGCGGGCTCACCCTAATGCATGACCGCTTGCTATTGAACACGTGCAATTTGTATCTTGAGCATGGTAACATGGCAATCCGAAACGTACACACCTATTTCACCCGCCATCTTTCGACAAAACTGTGCCAGGAACGCTGCTCAGACAGCATCCACGGGGCGCGCAAAGCTCGCGACGCACTATTCAGCGCAGCTGGACAGGAATCAACAGGCAAATCATGTCGTTCTTGTTCTCGTCCAGGATCTCCCACTTGACGAGCGCCGACACGGGCGGGAAGATCTTCTTGATGGCGATGGACTGTGAGTAGTGCTGCGTCGAGTTTTTCACCACGGGACAGGTCATACCGCCGGCCGTGCAGGCGTTGTCGTTGGGCAGATCGAACGGCACGAAGAAGGGAACGCCCGACACCTTGCCGTGGACCGAGGCCGTGGCCGACTTGCTCTCCTCGCCGGCCGTGAACGTGATGTCGAGCGTGGCGCTCTTGCCGCGGATCAGGATGCACTTGGGTCCGTTGCCGCACGGCTTGATCTGCACAGAGCTGACCGTGGCGCCCTTCGAGCCGCAGTCCTTGTAGTGGATGCCCAGCGCCAGCGGCACCACGGCGAGCAGCACGAGGGTGGCGCGGGTCGGGCTCATCTTGGAGTGGTGCTGGTGATGGTCTTGTGCTTGGTTCAATACAGCTGTGGGTAGATTAAAAGATTAAGTAAAAAAACAAACATGATTCCCATGATACTAACCACTTCTGGGGTTGTGCTCCTGCAACAATAGTGCTATGCACAGAATGAATATTCTGTAACATATATGCTGGGAACATTAGTGAATCTAGGCATCCCAAAATGTTCATAACAGCCTCCATCTCCATAAATAACTTTCTAGGTTTGGATAGGTCTGTGCATGTTGACAAATCATAAGGCCAAGGAATGGGTCAAAAGGAGCAGTCTCACTGAGAAATTGGGAGCCCCTTAGCAGCTTGAAGGCATTCCTCAGGCACCCTCCCAGGTCCTGACATATACATCCCCTTTATTGGTACTCTCCTGGAAAGGCTAATTGGTAAAAATAGCAAACAAACTTTACATTAAGTTTGTAGAAGCATTTTGGGCTCCAAGCTTGGTTGAAACAACCCTGATGATCTGGAATGAGTCACCTGTGCAAAAAGGTGGGCTAAATACAATAAGAAAGCCTAATAAGGCTCCCTCCACAATAGCCTGGAGCCTCTCAGGCAACAGTGTTCCTTGACAACATTCATCCTAACCATCACTGAAATTTTGGCTATATGCCTAATTGCCCACTACAAATATAGCATGCCTTGGAACTTAGGTTGAATAAGTTGAAGTTAAATATACATTCAACCTACATACAAGTTCCAATTGCTCACATTCTGTTCCCCGACCATAAGGCTAAAACCCATTTTCCCCCAAGGTTTGGTAATAGAAATCCCATGGCAATAAATATGAGCATCAGACTTCAAGCTAATATACAAAAATTGCTATGTAAGGAGTCATTAAGTTAAGGTATTCTAGAATAATCCACTGTTGCTATTATTATTATTGTTATATATACATATATAACTGAATATTATACACAAGTTATATATAAATGAAGAAGATTATGAACTAGACAAAAATAGCAATCAATGATGCATGTATGGCACCAACTGCTTGATTTTGGAAAACTCACCAGCCCCCACAATACACTGATTCTATAAAGCCACCACCTTAGGTTATATGCAAGGGAAAAAATAACTATCCCACACTTATTTGAGTTTGACCGATCACTTGGGCTTCAGTCCATCCATTTGGAGTTGGGAGCTTTGGCCCCCTAACCTTCAGAATAAGGTGGGCAAAATCTGGGGAAACCCTGATTGCTGGCATATTTTGGGGGCAGGTTGGGTCATTTTTTGCTGTTCAGTCATCCCAACTCATTCCTCATTTAAAGAAACCATGCTGTGGCACAAAACAAAATTGGCCCACCCTTTACTCCAGGTAAGACGCCGTGCGCCGGTAAACTTCAGCAGTCAGAGGGGCGTACTCTACCCATGCTTAGTACATATACACAATTAGTTAACAAACACTGTTGGCATCAAGGCATTCAACTACATGATGCGGTATTTCACTTTCCTATTTATCAATACAGAACAATGTCAGCAAATGACATCCCCAACCTATATTTACCGCCCCCACCCACCCCCAACAACAGGCAGGGCCGGACGCCAAACAGACCATGATAATCTTCACCCTTTGTTTCCAGTTATCAAACGTGTTCGAAAATAACAAGAACATGCTGATTTAAAACTCCAAATTCCCTGGCAGCAAGATATCGTCATCTTTTCTTTCTGTCATTGGTCTAAAACAGGATATGCAGAAAAGCCAGCTACGTATGCTTTTGGTGAACAGGATCCTGGCAACATATTCTCTGCGCCATAAGCGTATCGTGAATTCGTCATCGCCTTGGAATCGTTCATGGACTTCTCATGCCCTCGCATGTTCATTTAAAACCAATCTGCGTTTGATATAACGGGTTAACGTGACGAGGGTGCGCTGTACGGTGTCGGTTGCGATTTTTGTGTGGACGTTGACGGATTTTTGGGCTATTCGTCAATTGTCACCTCAGAGTCTCGTACTTTTGTATTTACCAAGGAAGCACCTTCAAGTGCAGATTGTTTTAATGTTGACTTAAGGTAAGCTTGGTAGTCTGCAAAAAGTTTCATGAAATGCGCCAGATGCCCATGGCACAACTGAACCTGGCACAAAAGTGCGGTTAACACTGGCTAGGTGAAGTGCCACTGAAATTTTCAATTCAATTTGTGTGAAAAGGTGTCAGAACTATTTCTGCATGAAATTATCCTTGCAGCATCATATCTTAAATATGGACTGTCTGTGCGCTGAAATTTGTAGCTAGCACACAGTACTCTAATCAGGTTTATTTATGGTGTGCATGCACAATAATTATTGTAGCAATGTCACTTATAAGACATGTGTTAAGTGGGACAACAGATAGTGCAGTAGTTAAGTTGTGCATATGACAAATCAGGGAGGCTTAGTTTGATTCCCTATGGTGCCTGCTCTTCCTGACAGGGTGCTGTCATTAGGGTGTGTATGTATTGCCTAGTTTGTCATTAGGTCTGAATGACAAAGCAGAGTCTCACTGATCTCTGCTGAATTTTGTCAGAATTTTTCAGAGAAGTTGCTGACTGAGAAATACAAGCTGCCAGAAAGCTTATGAAGAACACTGTTTACATCACTCAAGTGACAAAGGCTCCTTATCCATCCATGTCATGTTATATTATTGCAATGCCTTGCTGACACCACTAACTCTCTGTACTTGCAATCTGCTTAGATAGTTTCTTCCAGTTGTTATGGCTGTCAAACAGATGCAACAAAACAAAATTGACAGGGATCATAACTATTAAAGCCTGCTGAAATATTTATTTTTGTTTTTAATCACATGAGGAGTACCTCCATTATACATGTGACATGATAGTTCCTTTAAGTCATATTGTAAGAGCTATGCTTCTGGTATGAATTGATAAAGGAGTCAGGTTTGCAAAAAGAGCAAATATTTTGTAAACCAGTTGAGGAGGTGTATGTATGTCAGGGGATTATCATGTTAAGCATAGCTTTATATTGCCTGATATGTTATATTGGTTCTGAATCCAGTTTCAGGCTGTATAGCACATTGTGAAGCTTGAGGTATAATCAAACATGGTTGCAATATTATTTTGGGGTACACAATTTGAGGTACCTACTTCTATGAACTGAAATGAATCAGGCTCAGCAGAACTTTTTGTCTGCCAGCCTTATTGTTGCAGAATGTATATATGTATCAGGTGCTGCACAGATAATTCATATTTGGAGTGGTGGGACATTGGAACTGTTCATGGAGGGAGCAGTCATTCATCATACAAGCCATGACCAGTGGAAAAACACAGGCACAGACACTTGTTCATGCAACAATGAAAGTGTTATGATGTTTCCAATCACATGTAAGTACTCCACATGATACCAACCTTCTGAGGTTTCAGTGTGCAGTCACTGATATTTGGGCTATGAAAAGTATGCCATAATTATATTATGAGAATGGAAGCAATAACAATGACATTCTTATGGCTTTCTTGGTTTCTGTAAGTTTCTACTGGCTTTAACTGGTGGATACATCAGAAAGCAGCATAAGCTAGTTTCAACTAACATACTTACCCTGTTAGTTTCACTGAGTGGTCTCATCAGATTCTGCCATAAAACAGGAGATATTTCCAGCTTGTGACACATTCATTGCAATTGGTGGAGCATCTGGATTTATTTTTATCTTATTATTATTAGTTTATTTTCAAGCATCTGTATTTACCTCATGTCACTATCATCAGGGCATCATGACTGGTCAAATTCCAATTTCAATGCCTTGGGAGCCTAGTGCTGTGCTGTGCTGCAGTGCAGGAGTGCTGCCTTGCTAGGCTCTCTTGGGTGGTATGCACAAGTCATTTGGCATTGTTGGAATGCTTTACTGGTTTCCCTGGTTTCACAGTAACTACATCTGGTTTCACAGAAACTCAGGATTGCATTATTTATCACTTGGCTACCATGCTGGGGTGAACAAACCCGTAAGTTCCCCAGGCAGGTGTTTTTTACACCATGAGATCATTTCCATTCAGGAACAATACCTCCCAGTTTACATTTTTAAAGTTCTTGCAGTATGGTGACATGTGGTCTGGCTGTAGGATCAATTTTGTTGCATGTTTGTAGGCTACTCAGCTGCCACTCATCCCTGATGTAAATGGGTCCCAAATCCCTAAATACTTTTCTTATTCAGAGAAGGAATGGACCAGTCTAATGCCAGAATGAGCAATGTTTCCAAGGCCAAAATTTACAAGATCAAAGGAGCACTAGAAATAAGCATTGTCCTGTAATGATTGCTGATGATGAGTAAAAATTGTTAAGCTTTATGACTGTCTGATTCTTTACTTTAAGCCTTGACTATTTCCCAATATACATTGTTTGGGCTTGGGCTATCAGCAACCGAGGTGGTGTGCCTACCATTTTGCCACATTGTGGGGATAGTTTCTATTCAAAATTAGATTGCTAGATTACTTTCATACCACAATGTCAGTTGTTGTGCTGCCCGCACTGCACAGCCTTGTACCATCTGTAAATGTTTGGGTATGTCTGGAGATTAGGAGAGTGTTATTCATTAAGCACAATGAAACATGGGGGGAGGGGGTGAAATTTTATTCTAGTGACACTACTGTCAACCTGCATTCATGGGCCGACTTTTGGCATGTACTGCTTGCCACGTTTTTTCAAGAAGTTTGCAATCCAGACATGCAGGTGTGGCTTACCACCCATAGCTGGGACTCCACAGTCCGCAGTCTTAAAGTTCTTCATCACAACATGAGGAATCGCTGCTTTACTTTGCCCTTATGTCAGTGAGCCAAGTTCTTCATTTTTTTTCACAGGTACCTACAGCAACAATGGTGGATTAAGTCAATCTGGGCCCTTCAATCCAGTTCAAATTTGGTAACAGCTGAAAGTAAGTCAGACTATCAGTGGCAAGGAAAGTTGTAGCCTTACATATTTTCATTGAAACATAGATTCCTGCCAGCGACTGATCGCCTTATGACCCCATGTGCATGGCTGTTGGTCCTGTGGTGTCATGCTATGAATGGCTTAGAGGACAAGCATGACTGCATGATGTGTCAACTACTGCACACCTTGTCGCATCCCATGTCCTGTTTTGGGGCATGTAGGTTGTTTATGTGATTTCATGAATAAGGTAAAAACATGAAATATGACAATCCCAGGGGGTAATTGGTGGGGCAAGCTTCATCATTGTTAGTTACATTGAAGTCTTAACACCTATATTGCGGCATTGGTGTTAAGTTGTCTTTACTGCTGCCTGTGGTCCCCCTGTTGCGCTGCTTCCTGTGCCGCTTTGAGGGCCTCCTACACTGCTGCTCTTGTCAGATATGCTGGCTGTGTGGCTGCAGCCTATCAGCAGCTAGCTGTGTGACTGCAGCCTATCAGCAGCTAGCTGTGTGGCTGCAGCCTATCAGCGGCTGGCTATGTGGGTGCAGCCTATCAGCGGCTGGCTATGTGGCTACAGCCTATCAGCGGTGGGCTATGTGGCCGCACTCAGCACCCTATCAGTAGGTGGCTATGTGGCCACAGTCTATCAACAGCTAGCTGTGTGGCTGCAGCCTGTCAGCAGCTGGCTATGTGGGTGCGGCCTATCAGCGGCTGGCCATGTGGCTACAGCCTATCAGCGGTGGGCCATGTGACTACAACTTATCAGTGGATGGCTATGTGGCCGCACTCGGCACCCTATCAGCGGCTGGCTATGTGACTGCAGCCTATCAGCTGCTGGCTATGTGGCCGCACTCCGCAGTCTATCAGCAGCTGACGCGGCCCCCTTCGCCTTGCCGGCTGGGGACACCGCCTTTGGTCTCGACTGGGTGGTGGCACCTCCGCCGGTCTTAGCTTGGTGATGTTGTTTCCTTCTGTCTCAGCCGCGCACTAGTAGCTCCAGGATGGACGGACAAAGCCGCACATGCGTCGAATGGATGTGCAACGATGAGTACGAGCCGGGAAGGTGAGTGCAGTCCTCCGCGTGAGCAAGCGTTGGCGCAGTGGGGCGCATTTCACGCCTGTTTGTCGGGGCGGGGTCGTCATGAACACCGACGGTGTTGGGATGATCGTCGTGGGTTTTGAGGGCGTCTTTGTTCAGCTGTTCGTCCAGCGAACCATGGCCACCAGGGGCGGCGGGGCCGCTTGCGTGTTCGGGCTGTCACGCAGCGCACTTCAAAGAGGTTCCGTCCTCCTTTGCGTAGCAGAATAAGTAGCAGCTTTGCTGCTGACTCACTTGACATCACTTGCGCAGCATTCCAAGACACGACCATGCCTGCTTGAGTCTTTGGTGTTGAGTCTTGTCACTTTCCGGGAATAGGGACAGGTAAGCAGGGCATTGGTCGCACTGGCAGAGATACGCTATGGCACTGTGTGGTCGTACATGTCCACGCCGTCTGTGTGTGTGAGCCCCGCTCCACCTCTCGCCGCGTGCGGTGTTGATGCCGACTGGCGGGAGCCGCGCGCCTGGGCGCCACCGCCCGGCCCGCTCCTCACCACCCGCCTCCCATCGCAGCTTCGATCTGAACAACATCATGTCGCCGCCGGACCACGAGTCCATGTTCTTCTCGCTGATCAACGCCAACCCGCTGGCCGAGGAGCCGCCGGCGGCGGGCGCCAGCACGCTGGCCGGCGGCGCCGCGCCGCTGGCCAGCCCGCCCTGGCTGGCGCAGCCGGCGGAGGCGCCCGTCTCGCTCGTTTCGCTCGTGCAGAAGCTCGACCTCACGGGCACCGACGGCACGCCGCCGACAGCTGCGGCCGCAGCCGCAGGTGGGCGCTGCTGTGTGCGGGACCCCTTCGCTGGGCGGGGAGGGATGCTGCTCACGGCGGCGGCGCGTCGCTCGGGGTTATGTGGGTTGCAGGGGTGTGTGCAGTGCCGCTATTGTTGTTACGTTGTCGCATTTGCCTCTCGTCGCCGGTGAATCAGCGCTGTCGCATTTATGTCCACTCTTCCTCGCCAAGATGCGTTTTCGCCGCCACGCGCACGCCACCTGGCGGTGTGTTTCGTGTTTTGGCGCTCAGGGTCCGGCTTGGGTCGCAGTGCCGCGTTCTCCGCCCCCCGGTGACGTCAAAGACCGGCGCGTTGGCTGCGTGTCATGACGCGACGTCTCGGCCCGTTTCAGGAGCGGCGGCGCCGGCGTCCGCCGCCGAACCGTCGCTGAGCGAGGCGGTCGGCGCGGCGCTGGCGGGGGCCGATGGCGGCACGGTCAGCGGCGGGCTGGCGCGCGTCACTTCGGCGTCGCAGCTGGGCGAGCTGGTCGCGCCGCCGGCGCAGGCGCGCATGGACCGCCGGCCGTCCATCTCGTGCCCCAACACGCCGCCGCCGACGCGCCGTGCCGTCAAGAACTCGTTCTTCGCCGAGTCGGTGTTCGATCCGCAGCGACCGGCAGCGATCTGCCGCGCCTGGCACGAGCAGCAGCAGCAGCAGCAGCAGCAGCAGCAGCAGCGGGCGGATGTCGCGGACCGGGCGTTCTCGGCCGCCGCGGAGGCGGGGCCGGCGCTGGCGGCCGTCGCGCCGCGCCGCGTCAAGCCGCGGCCCAGCCGCCTGCGCGAACTGAACTTCCTGGCGCCGACCTCCATGTAGGGCCGCCGGTCGCCGGCCGCCGGGGGCGGAGCTGGCAGCTTCGCCCGGTCAGTAGGGGTCCTGTATCCTGGTGTAGCCGACAATGTAGGTGATCCGCGTGGCGGGCGAGAAAACTCTGGGTGGGCTACATCTCAGTGGGCCGCAACGCGTCGTGTTCCCCCTCCCCGCTAGACGCCCCCCATCCCACCACCGCCGGCGCGCCGGTCGCGCACGGTGGCGCCCTGCCCCCGGGATGTTTGCGTGTGGGCTCTGTCTGTGATTTCGACCGCGCTGGGAGGTTGGCGTTCATCCGGGTGGAACGTGAGGTGCACTCCAATATATCGCTATTTAAGGTAGCCGGTGTGTGCGGGCGGTCGATGGCGTGCGGTGCTCCGGCTGCAGGTGCAAGAACCGCCACTCCGGTCCGAAGTGTAGCTGCTCGGTGCCGGCCGCACACGACGCGCTGGTAAACTGTCATCCAGGAATGTATTGGCTGGGTGTTACGATCACTTCACACGCACGCTTCACAACGCAGGCACGCATCGCAGACGGTTACACTCGTTGGCACGTGGCTAGTAACGGGTTATTGGCAGCGGAAGCGCACCGAGGCGCCAAAGCGCACCGGCTCCGTCATCGAAACGGCTCGGTGACGGTCAGTCGAACGGTAAAACAAGCGTGCTCGCCTCCTCGGGGCAGGCACCGGACTCCTCGGGCCGGTACCGGTCTCCTCGGGCCAGGCACCGCACTCCGGACATCCTACGGTGATCATCCGAGGTTCCGGCCGCGGGTCGGAGCCGCACCCGGTGCTGCGCGGGCGGGGTTAGTTGCTGGCGTGCGGGGGGCGAGGGCGGCGCCCGCGGTCCGCCCGCTGCAGAAAGGCTGAACTGCTGCATGGGAAGGCGGCGCCGGCCGCTGGCAGACCTCGCTACGGTAGAAGCCGCGGCGCCCCGGTAGCTCCGGACTGCGTCGGTAGCGGACTGCGTCGGCGCCAGCCCGTTGTAGCGTGCACCGCTGGCCCGCGCCGACACGGGGAGGATCGGGTGAGCCGCCATCACAGTGGCGGGCGGGGCTGAACTACTCTTCCCCGGCCGCGCCGGCGGTTGAGGCGGTTGCGCGACCGCCGACGCCGCTGCTCCTCGGTCAGGCGGCTGCACCGCCGGCGGCAGCGTCAATAGCCGGCAAAGCCAGCCTCGGCCATTCAATGTAGCGACGAGTGACTCCGCCTGCCCAGGCCGGGCGTGCCGGTGGGCGTGCCCCGCGGCGGCGTGGCGCTGGCGCGGCCGCTGGCGCCGGGCGTGCGCGACGCGCCCCGCTTCAGCCGCAGCGAGCCGTACGGCGAGCTGCCGCGCGAGAAGTTGGAGTGCGCGTACAGCAGCAGGCCCACGTCGCGATGGCCGGCCTCCATCGCCACCTGCAGCGCCGTGCAGCCGTCGTTGTCCGTCAGCTGGGTGTCGCACTCGGGGTGCGCCAGCAGCAGGCGCACGATGGCCGCGTGGCCGTGCTCGGAGGCGCACATCAGGCTCGTGCTGCCGTCCTCGTCCTGGCGGGAGAACGCGGGGGTCAGGCGCGGAGGCGGGCCCCGCGGCCCCGTGCCGTGTTTGCACGCTTCGGGCAGGCGTTTTCCGAAGGGCCCGGCAAGACGCCTATGACGGTATCCAGTCACAAAGAAGCGTAATCATATTTCCGTCCGAACCGTGTTGTGATTTACGCGAACACGTCAGCCGCGTGGCCGTCGGACTGACGTGGCCAACGTCGGCAGCCCGGCTGACTCGAAAGCGAGCCCGGCCAAACAGACGCCATCTTGTCGAGGCGGAGGCCGTCGCGTCTGCGGCCGCTGACAGCGGCGACGGGGGAGGGGGCAGCGCGTACCTGGATGTTGACGTCGGCGCCGGCCTCCAACAGCAGCTTCACCATGTCCAGGCGGCCGTGCGAGACGGCCAGCATCAGCGCCGTCTGGCCGTGCTGTCGGAGGACGGGGGGAGCTGACCAGGGCACGGCAGCGACAGTGACACCAGCACCGCAATAGCGCCGACGCGGTAATGTGGTCGCGATAACGACCCCAATGTCATCATGGGGATACCAGCAATACCGACATGGACGCACTGGCAACGCTGGCACGGGCATGGTGACCCCACTGATGTCAACGCGGCAGCAAGACTGGCGCGCGAGCGGCACCAGCAACGGCATCGGCAGAACACGGGAGCACGGACACGACGTTTACGGACTGGGCCAATTCAAAGCGTTTCGTTGCGAACGCGGCGCAGCATCATTCTCGAACGTGACAACACGACTGTCGCGGGGTCACTTGGGGAGCGTTACCCTCGTGATTCGCACATCCGCACCCGCACGCCGTCGTCCCATCCACACTTCGTCGTCGCATTCGGCCCACCAACAGCTACCCCCCGCCCCCAGTCGTCGCCCCCCGCCCACCAATAACTCCCTGCATCATGTCGTCGCCCCCCCCCCCCCGCCCACCAATATTCGGTCCACCAACAGCTCCCCGTCCCCGGTGCAAACCCCCGCCGAAGCCCACCGTTCGCTCGCACCTGTTTGGCGCGGACGTTGACAGTCGCCGCTCTGGAAGAGGCGGCGCACCACCTGACGGTGCGTCTCCGAGCCGATCTGCGCCAGCGACAGCAGCATGATGCACGTGTAGCCGGCGTTGTTCTGGCGCTGCGCGTCGGCCACCTTGCTGTCCAGCAGCACGGAGACGACGTCGAAGTTGCCGTGCGAAACCGCGTAGTGCATCGCCGTGTTGCCCTGCGGACGCGCGGCGGATTGAGAGCGACGAACGTGACGCACTCAGGAGGCGAACGGCCGAGATGCAGCCGACCCTGTTACCTTCTTTTTGCTTCATCCTGCATCCTCGCGACGCCCCGCTTAGCCGGGGTAGGCTGCATGCGCCGGCCACGAGTGGGACGGAAGCCCTCCGGAGGGGGACCCCGACCGGGCGCTCAGCGCATACTCCTCAGAGGGTCCCTGCGCGGGCTGAGCTCGACGGCTGGTTCCCCAGGCGCATGTAGTTCCGCCCCACCGTTATCCCATATCCCTGGTGTTATCATTAATGGTCGAAAGGGCTCTAATCCAAACACCAACCAAAAGTAGCCGGAATGGCGCCCAGCGTTCGGGTGACTCAGAGGCGATGGACGGCGGGGCCCCCGCACGTTTTGGTCGGTAGATGTCGCAATCGTACGTATGCCGCCTCGATTTGACGTCCTTGTCCATGAATCGTTGCTCTTGTTTCATGGCGGACGTGGGGCGGATACACTACAACTTTCGCAAAACGCTGGCCACTTAAAGGCAACTACGCATCTAGGAAACCAGAGGTACGGCGTTCGATCCCCCGCGGTGCCCGCCCTTCCTGCCAGGGTGAGAGGCAGGCGACGCCATATAGCCACACACACACACACACACACACACACACACACACACACACACACACACACACGTAAAGGCAAAGAAACAAGCACGCTCTACTCTGCGCCAAAACCCGCGTCGGAAAACCTCGCGTCGCGCAGTCTCCCCGCTCGCGCATTCGCTCTCACATTGTTGTCAGCCATGTTGACGACGGCGCGCAGCAGCTGCGGCGAGACAGCCTCAAACGCGTCCAGGTAGTCTTCAACGACCAACGGGTCGGCCAGGCGCGTGCCACCCACGCGGAACCACTCAGTCTGCACCAGGGAGGCGGCCGCGACCGCCGCCGAGCCGCCGCCGCCGCCGCCGGACGACAGGGAGTCGTTGAGTACCTTCAGCGCGGCGCGCAGCTCCGGACTGGGCTCGGCCCTGAGAACGACACCGGTGCTGGGTCAGGGGTTGGGGTGCCTTCAGCGCAGCTCCGGGCTCGGTTCGGCCCTGAGAACGACACCGGTGCTGGGTCAGGGGTTGGGGTGCCTTCAGCGCAGCTCCGGGCTCGGCTCGGCCCTGAGAACGGCACCGGTACTGGGTCAGGGGGTGGGATGCCTTCAGCGCAGCTCCGGGCTCGGCTCGGCCCTGAGAACGGCACCGGTACTGGGTCAGGGGATGGGATGCCTTCAGCGCAGCTCCGGACTGGGTTCGGCCCTGAGAACGACACCGGTGCTGGGTCAGGGGTTGGGGTGCCTTCAGCGCAGCTCCGGGCTCGGCTCGGCCCTGAGAACGGCACCGGTGCTGGGTCAGGGGTTGGGGTGCCTTCAGCGCAGCTCCGGGCTCGGCTCAGCGCTGAGAACGGCACCGGTACTGGGTCAGGGGGTGGGATGCCTTCAGCGCAGCTCCGGACGCGACTCAGCCCTGAGAACGGCACCGGTGCTGGGTCAGAGGGTGGGCTGCCTTCAGCGCAGCTCCAGGCTCGGCTCCGCCCTGAGAACGGCACCGGTGCTGGGTCAGAGGGTGGGCTGCCTTCAGCGCAGCTCCGGGCTCGGCTCAGCCCTGAGAACGGCACCGGTACGCGATCGGAGGAATACTAACGTTATGGTGCTGCCCTTAACCCGGGCGCGCCCAAGGAAGGGCAATATGCCAGCTAAGCACCGACGCACACGCCAACTTTACACACCCATCGACATTCAGGATGGAAGTAAATCTGCTGCCAGTTACATGAGCGGCCTCGTATCCTCTTGAGGGACTTCTGACCCGGCTCAGTCAAAAGTCCAGACACCGCATGGTGTCAGATCACAGCCGGCGTACCTCTGAGCCGAACCCGAACTATCCTGGCTTTACAACCCTGCGTGACAACAGATCAGCGTACGCACTTTTTCCTCGGAGCGGAGGGCGTCTTGGCCGTCGATGTCCCTGCTGAGATGATGTCGACCTCCGAGCCACCGTTACCGGCGTCTGGCGGCGGTGCGGTGTTCCTGCAGCACCGAACTCCGTCAGTCACCCAGCGCTCCGGTCGCTCCAAAACACTGGCTCACAAACTGCCACTAAATAACTCAGATAATCCATGATGCGGAACGGCGACGTCTCGCCGTTTATTGCATGACCCCCCGGGTCTCAGTATGGTGAAGGCCGAATTTTTAACGCACACTCGGGCAAATCGAGCACATGTTACAAGCAGTGTGATGATATGCATCCAGGAGGGAATATTTCACGCCCATGCCACACCATGGCTGGTATTTTGTTTTGCATGTAACGTCGCCGAACAAAACCAGCACTATATCAACACATTATGGATTGTTGTGTCGCGTGCTCATTCTTACGGATGTGAATGCTCCAGGTCACAGCCGATTTGTTCCGTCCTTTTCACAGCTCGACAACTTTCCCGACCAAATTCTTCAACTGGCGCCTCCCTGACCAAACGCCCCACTGCCGGTCCCCTAATTCACTGACCTGACTCCAACCAGTGCATCCGGATTCAGTGCGTTCCGCTGGTGTCTCCTAATCACATGCAGGTCGCTAAACTTACTTATTTAGTTGACGCTTCCTAGACCCATCTCTCTAGCTGGCGCCTCCCGAGCTCACCCCACCCGACACGCCTCTTGGGCACACCCTCCAGCTCGCTGACGCGAGTTGGAGGGTGGGTCCAAGAGGCCGAGATCCGAGGAGGTGGGTCCGGGAGGTCCGGCACTCACCGCTCCGGCGTGTCGCCCTGGCCTCGTTCGTCCCGTGCCGCCTCCGGGGTCCCGCGCGCCACGAACGTATCGCGCCGGCCAAACTGGCGCTGCTTGAGCTCGGAGGCCGGCGGCTCTACCGAGGCGCCTCGCGGCGGCGTTTGCGGCGCCGGCTCCCGCGCCGCCGGGCTGGCGGGCCGCCGGACGGGCGGCGGCGGCGGCGGCGTCTCCGCAGCCGCCGGCGCCGCGGGCGGTGCGGGCGCTCCGCCGCCAGCCGTCGCCGCTGGCGGGCCCCGTGGCTGTCCGGCGCTGACCGCGGCCGGGGCCGGGGCCGGGCCGCGGCGGGCCATCGGCGGCGTCCCCGGCTGTGGCGACGGCGGCGGGTTTTTGCGCGCCATCGGCGGTGTGGCTAGCCGCGGGATTCGCGAGCCGCCGGCGCGGGGCAGCGGCGGCAGCGGCGACTCGCGGCCGCCAGGCGGCGCCGGCGGCGGCCGGTCAGGAGCCGGTGCGGCCACCGCCGCCGTCTGACAGCTCTGGTGCCGACTGATCACGTGGTCTCCGCTGGCCACGCTCCGCAGGGCCGCCACGTCCGTCATCGTGGTCTTCACCTGGGGCGTGTGCCAGGGAGAGCGTTTGAAAAAAACCCAGCACGACTCGAACTGGATCACGCGTAACCACGCCTTATCCCACACCGTGTTAAAGGAAGCCGTATTTGGTATAACAATTTATGGATTTTGTGACACATAATATGGCTCGAGTTCACTGACAGCAGTCCGTGTTAAACTTCCTACACAAATAATTGTGAGAACTGCAAATGTCGTCACCATATAAACACACCTGCGGTAAAACAACACCCACGAGCTGACCCATGGCTGATCAAGACAGCTGCTCATCATCCCGTACCTTCTTCAGTACTTCCTTGGGCCGGTCGGTGCTGACGGACCGCGAGACGAGACTGGGCGATGGCGTACAGGTGGTGGCGTCCAGCTGCCGCGGCGGCTGCCGGCGGCCCACCTGCCCCGACGCCACGGGCGCCGGCGTCGCCGGCAGCGGCTCTGTGGCGCACTGCGACCGAGCGCGTGTGGCGGCGCTGCTCGACCGACACGGCCGCGTCGCGCTGCTGCGGCCGCGCCTCCGTGCCGCGGCTCTCGGTGGCGCAACGGCACTGCACGGCCGCCACCGCCATGGCCGGTCGGACCTGCGCCGCGAACGCGCGCGTGGGCGGCCGGCGGGGCTCCGGCGGCGCCGGCTCGGTCTGCATACCCGCCGAGAGCCGCGCGGTCGCTGCCGGCAGCCGGCGCTGGATCTGTCTGCACGCCGCAGCTGGCACTCTTGGCGAAGGAGAATGCACCGCGGACGTAGTTGACGCCCAGCTCGTACTCCTTGATCTGGGTGAAGGTGTCGTGGGTCTCGCTGGAGGAGCGCGAGGCGCGCTGCAGCTCACGCAGTTCGTCCAGCTGCTGCTGCAGCTGGTCAGCCTGGCGCAACTGGTCTAGCGTCATCTCGGTGGCGGAGGCGGCGTCGCGCGTGGCTGCCGCCGGCTCCGTGGCCGTGGCGGCTGTGGCGCGGGCCAGCGCGCGCGTCTGTGAGCCGCGGTCCACACCGGCCCGCTGCCGCAGCCGCAGCCGCTCCTCCTCTCGCCTTTGCCGCTCCTCCTCCCTGCCGCCGCCGCTCCTCATCCTCCCGCCGCCGCCGTTCCTCTTCCTCCCGCTGTCGCCAGTCCTCCTCCCGCCGCTGCCACTCCTCCTCCCGCCGCCGCTGGCGCTCCTCTTCCTCCTGCCGCCGCCGCTTCTCCTCTTCCTCCCGCCGCCGCCGCCGCTCCTCCTCCTCCTCACGCCGGTGGCGCTCCTCACTCTGCAGCCGGTCGGGCGGCGGCGGCGCGGCGCGCACCTCTTCCACGTGGGTGCGGCCGACGCCCAGCCGCGGCGGGGACGTGGCCACACCCACCGAGCGGCTGCCCCCGCGACCGCTCAGGATAGCCTCCAGCGAGATGCGGCGCCGGCCCGGCTCGGCCTGGCCGGCGTTCAGCTCAGTCAGCACGCCCACCGAACGCTGCGGGAGCTGTCGCGGCGGCGGCGACGGCGGCGGCGGGGACGGCTCAGGGGGAGAAGCAAGAGCGGGGGCGGCGGCTGACGGCGGACCGCCGCCCACGCCTACGTCCCGCGTGATGACGCGGGCAGCGCTGGACTCCTGGGGAGGCGTGGCGCCGCGGGAGGGCGGGCCACCAGAGACGCCCACGTCTCGTGTCAACACGCGACAGCTGGTGGACGCGTCCTGCTGGACCCGCCGGCCGCGCAACACGGCATCTGGCGACAAACACATGCCGGTTCTGACAGGCCGACCCCGTAAGTCGTCACACAAGTATGCACAAGCACGAAACAATCCGACCACAACTTGCACCCACTGGGACGTGCGAGATATGGCCAGAATTGAGTACACGCATTCGGTGCTGTCCGTTTGGGATTATCACGGTAACAAACAGCGGTGGCCGGATCACTAGCAGCCCAAACGAGATACTGCGCTGCCTCAACCATAAACCATAAGACCCCAACAGCACAAACGAGAAACACATCAACTCGGTCCGCAGCTGACCGCGATACCAGCGACGTACCGGGGGCAGGCGAGAGACTTCTGGACCTCAGGGTCAGCCTGGACTCGCGCTCAGGCCCCTCCGAGGCCAGCTCGGGCGTTGGGTCGCGCCGGGGTCGGCTGCGCACCACCTGCTCCATCGCGCGCTTCTCCTCTCGCAGCACCGACAGCTTGTGCTGAAACCGATCGACACGTGTGTACCTGCGGCGGCGTCCGACCTTCCAGCTTTACGTTGTGTGAAATTGAGCACGTGCGCTGATAGTGCGCTGACAGGCAACATTCTTGTTGCGCGGAATATCCATTTCATACCAGTGTAGTTTACGTTCAGACAGGTCCTACTCCATATACAATGGAGTACCACAAACCGGTTAAATATGATGGAACCCAACCACAATTATGTGCATCGCACGGGGCGGGGGGGGGGGGCACAGCGGGCGTTAGTCTGAATAAGACGTGCCCCGAGGCTAATCCACAGCCTCTGCTCGGCGTCCAGCTCACCTTCAGCATCGGAATGGCCTTGACCTGTTCTTCCAGTTCTCTCATTCGATGTGAAGTCTGCGCGCTCGTCCATTCTGGATGCTGGAAGCGCAATCGACGAGATAAAAGCAAAGCAACCATAGTGATAACAACACATGCCACCCCAAGAGCCATCGCCAAGTAAGCCAGGTAGTGGACGGTAGTCACATTACAACCTGTGGCTTGTTTAAAGACGGGCCAATCGCACGGCCCGACATCGCTTGTTCTGAATTTAGACCAATGTTTACGAATTATAGGGCAAATGCAATATTATCTCCACGCGGCTGGTAAACATGCTGCAATATAGCCACCCTAGACAACTGTCGAGACACGCATTGGCCGACACCGGCCAGATTTACACTTTGCACGTGACGTGTTGGACTTAGATATCTCAGGAAGCAAACTTTTACGAGCATGTCCATATAAAATTAGCCGGCTCGTTTTTTCTCTCCACAAGCCACACGTAGCCTTCGGAAGGAAAGGTGCAAAGGAAGGGCGTTTGTATCCAAATACATTGTTTTAGTTAACTTACTTTTATTTTTAGTGCGGCACGGTAAGGGGCCTAAGCAGGAAAATGGTTTGACCTCCACAACAAATCAAAATGGGTTTCACCCCGAATGTGACGCACTACCTTATCAAAGCAAGCGGAGCAAAAGCACCCTTCCGCAGCTGAATGGGACGCTACACACCTTGCATTTTTTCAGAAGAAACGCGCGTCTACTCAGTAGTGTACGAATCCTTACCCACAGGGTAGGCCCCAAATCATAATGAAGTTTGATGGCCTCATCCATAATTATGAGTTGTGCCGGGGGCCGACCGGCTACCGAAGAAGGCAAAATACAAACACGCCAGTAAGCGACGGGACATCTGCTGGCCAATCTACATCTAACCAGGTACTAGCGAACATACTTGGCCCCAGACCCACAGCTGAAAGAACGGCTTAGAAAAAGGTGCCATAACCCATTTTGAAGTCAGTTCTTTACACGCGCGTTAGTCATCAAGAGTTAATGCTCAAGATTCACGGAGAATGGGGTGCCACGACACCTTTGCAGGTCGCCCGCTCCTACCCTATGCCCACATCGGCCCATTTCTGTTTCCACGCGCGCGATGCCGTCCTAACGCTTGTTTTCTGGCCGTGCACGCGACCCAGAAAGAACAGGTTTTGTTTACAGCACGTTCCCATATGTTTACATCGAGACTTGACGGCTACATCCGATTAGAAATCTGACAAACACCACCGATGGAGAAAAGCTCCGCTCCCTGCTGGCATTACCGTCACGGGAGATGACGGTCAGCTAGCAGACTAAAGAGGATAACTAATCCACCTTTCATTTCAATTTCTCTGCGACGGGGTGGCTTATTGAGCACGCCTGTCGCGGGTTCCGCTGCAGCCTCACCGCAGTCGTCACATCTGGCAGCCGCTCTCCCGTCTCAGCCGGCCGTCTGGCGTGAGGCGAAGCGTCTCTCGTCTCCGTCCGCCGGCTGGCGCTGCTCGCGAGGCGTTCGGCGGTCTCCTCGGGGCCGCCGGCGGCGGCGCGCCCGTCCCCGGAGGCACCGCGGCGCGCCGGCCGCGGCTCTGGGCCGTCCTCCATCTGGCTGAGGCGCTGCAGCGAGCTGATGGTCTCCGCCATCTCGCGCGCGATGTCGGCCGAGCGCGCGGTGGGCCCGGCCGGCTCGGACGAGTCCGAGAGCGACGAGTTGGACGAGGCTCGCGGCAGGTCCCGCTCCGCGTCCCGCCAGGAGCGCAACGAGCCTGTCGGGACGGCGCGAGGTTAGCCGGGACAGGGAAGTGTGGGACACGCGGGCCAGAGGACAGGGAGACGATGCCCGACGGGAAGAACACTAGGGTCGCGGAACACACACCAGGGTCATAGGGTCACCAGGGTCAGGGGGCACGGGAAGAACGCAGGGAATGGGCAGTGCTCAAGGAAAATAAGGATGCACTGAAGACATCGGATACGCACGACCGCAGGTGTAAGAACGGAGAGCTGCACGCAACAATGCGAAAGGTAAGAACACACAGAAGATGATAAACGGAGAAGAGAAGACATGCAGAATTGAGTAGGCACGGAAAAGACGACATATATACCGGATATGGAGACGATCAGCATGCTAATATACAACCTGCTGCCTGGAAGATGTGATGTGAAGATGTGAGAGCTCATTTATGCTAACAACTTTCCATCTTTAAGCTTATCTTTTCTTTTACGAACGTAACGTTAATCAATTAACATGTCAGCGTCATTATCTTCTTTTCATTGTTCTTTTCTCCCCACACACACTTTATCGCATCGCATCGTTCGGTGCGCTCCCATCTGGCCGCCCTTCCCCCGCACATCTGCACCACCCCACACAGCTTCCGCCTCCCCTCCTCTGCCCCCCCCCCCCCCCGACTCCCGCACCCACCTGGCCGGGGCAGCGAGTGGTAGCGCCTGGCCGGCGGCCGGTACCCAGCACCGTCGCTCAGGTACGCCGGGCTGGTGTGAGTGGCAGCGCGCGACCGCTCCAGCGTCTCCTCGAAGTCGGACATCACCTGACCCAGGGAGCTCTCGAGATCGCTGGCCAGCTGACGGTCCGGCGCGCTCCGCACGGATGGGAACACGGGCGCCGGCGCCTGGAGGAAACGGCGCGAGGCGGGGTCAGGTGCTGAAGAAGAAGATAAAGCCCAGTCTCGCATTCTGCCGCTTTGCACGTTGACGGGCCGATGAAGCATTATCCCACAGCGTGAATGATACGAGACTTAGTGTTATCTTTGACGAGATTGTCTTATCGTCCGTGGTCGTAAAGGCGATCGTACATCCAGGCAGTGTTGCTTGCAGTGAGAGGCGCCCCCGAAGCGAACGCCTCTCACCACACACTCACAGGCTAGCCATCAGCACCGGGGCATCCAGACAGAAAACAAGCGTCAATAGCCATCACCGCGTCATTCACCCGGCTCAACGCGCGTGTTTTCCTCGCCGCAAGAAACACCGCCTCAAAGTGCTGTGTCAAAGGGCTACACTTTCCATTTCAGCCTATCAGCCTTGTTCCCGCCAAGGCCGGTGGCGCGCGCCGGCGTCCGGCGCCTCGTGGCGCAAGCGGGCGCCGTGTCGCGCCGGCCGTCGCGGCCCGTCCGCGGCGTGCCGGCTGCGCTGCACGGCGCGGCGGACGCGCGCGTGCCGGCCGGCCGCGGCAAGGTCGGCGCGGGGCGCGGCGGTGGGCCACGTCCACGTCCACGTCCCGGCGTCCGCGCCGCCCCGGCCGCCGGCCAGCGCGGACCCACCGACACTTTCACCGGCGGGGCGACCGGCGCCCGCCGGCGGACGTGAGGCCGGGCGGGCGCCACGGCTCGCCGACGGCGCGGGCCGCGCTGGGTCACGGGTCGGCGGGGTGGGTCGGGTCGGGCGTGGGTCGTGGGCGCGTGGGGATCGGTCGTTCCGTCCGAATCAGGCGAGAATAAATTGCTGTGGTGGTGGCTAAGCCGGTATTCACAGATTACCTGCTATAGTGAGATTTGGGGAGGGGGTATAATTGCACGCCGCATTTGTACAAGGTCTTGCGGTAGGCTGCATACAAATGCACCAGTTTAACATGGCTAATGGTTTTCACCATGACGCGGTGCCCGCTCAATACATTCAGGTGCTTATGTGGCGTCGTTCACGAGCTCGTGGGCGTCTGCGCCTGTGCCCACGCCGTGTTTCCTCCCTTTCCGTATTCACATCAAAGCCGCTGCCGGAAATCGTTCGCGGGGTAGCCCCCATGCGACACGCCCTTCGCCCAGCTGTTTATCATCAGACATCTGCGGGCTGACCCTGGCGACGCATTCAAACAGCCTTATCGACGAGCATCGATCGCCTTTCTCCTCGGACGGCCGCTCTGAGACGCGGGCGGGCGGGACGCCGGCCGCTCCAGACCCGGGCCGGGTCGGGGCCGCGGCGCGCGCAGACAAACGAGCGGTCGGCGGGGGCCGACCCGGCGGCGGGCGGCGTGCCGGGCCTGCCGGGCGCGCCCGATTCATTCGAACCTCCGGCAGCCCGCCGCCGCCGTGGGAACGGACGGCGGAGCGGGCGCCACCACGCCGGGCCGAACGCTCCACCGGGAGTCCTCCGCCGGAATCGGAAGTCAGGAGGACAGGGCGCGGCAGCCCGGCCGCGGTCGGGTCAAGCGGGGAGGCGGAGGCGGAGGTCGGCCAGCGGCTGGGGGCGGGTCTCGCTCGATGACCAGGGCGAGCTCGGCCGTCCGGCGCGGCGGGCCGGCGGCGCGGCAGATGGCGCCCTGCCGAGAGTTCCACCAACGGCGCGGCAGCATCGTGACGCTGCGGCCGACTAATGAGGCCAGGACCCCGGGCCGCTCACGCAACCGACCACGGCGGAGGGTGGCGGCTCTTGTTTCACAGGCATGTGCATTGTGCAAACTCCGGAAGAGATACGCTGGGAGGGTTCGCCGTTTCACGGGTCACCTTCTGACTCCGTCGGTCGCTACCTCAACCCGTCAAAGTCGTGCTGCATACGACGAAGCCCCAGTAAGTACTGCGTGACGGGCTTTGGTTGTTCGGAGAGATTTGAACAGAAAGCTTAAGCTAAACACCTGTTATGCACGACCATGGATATTTCACGCGTGAGGCGGATGCTGACCATCACTACATTCCCACCCGACTCGTGATCATTCAAACTTTCATTGCCGCATGAATTCATGCGGCCACGACTCAGATTTGACAAAACCTTTTTCTATAAAGGTCTCCCTGAACTGAACTGGGTTGAAGTAGCCACACTCTCCGCCTAACCTCTCCGTTCTCACCTGCACTGGCGGACTGACTGACTTCTGCTTGTCCGCCTTTTCTCGGCGCAGCCCGAGCAGCGAGTCGTAGGACTTCTTGTGGCTGCGCTTGGTGCGCCGGAGCCGGTTAACTGGCCGCTGGCTCTCCTTGTTGTCATAGTAGTTGTCGCAGAAGCGGACGAAGTCCAGGTCGATCTTGAAGCCGTAGGGCACCGAGTAGGTGCTGGGCAGGTGGCGGGGTAGCGAGTTGAAGCTGCGGCTGTTGCGGCGCAGCGCCATCGTCCCGTCGCCTGTCGGGAGCGGAGAACCAGCGCGGTCAGCAGGGGCAGACTGTGGGGAGGTAAGGGACCGTGGACTTAACGGTCACGGCAGGCGCGCCGGGGCTGGACAAGCCGGAGCAAACTACCACCTGTATCGTCAAACAACCACGACGACAGGCGGTGAATGGAATGCGGGAAAGCACGCCAAGTGTTGCGTAACCACGACCACGACGGTGTAAATTACCGGGCCGTGACCACCCATCGCGGTCATAAATTGGGCAACGGCCGACAGAAGCTCGCGGCGAAAGGTCAGGTCAAAGGGCCTGATGTCGTCGTGGCCGCGGCGGCGGACACCAAACCACATGACCGCGACCGCGGCGGCCGGTCTGCCGGGGAGCCCGCTCGCCCGGGCCCCTCGAATGACGCACCAGCGGCGGTCGGCGCCGCTCGGGCAGACCAGTTTGGCCGGCCCGCGGGCAGGCGGCGGCACTTCTCAGGCGCCGCGGAGCCGACCCCGGCGGCGTCGGCGCCCGGCCAGCCACGCTGCCGTTCGAGGGGGCTATGACGCGGCTTTGGCGCCGCTGAGCGGGGTCGGCTGCGGCTGGTTCGGTGGCGGGCGGTTGACCCCGGGGCGCGCAGACTCGCCGGGAGGGGAGGGGGAGGGGCACCTCGTGCCGACCGCCGACGCCGCCAGGTGACGTCCCAATCGGGGCTGGCCGGGACCAATTCGTCGTCGTTTCGCGCCGCTCTCTGCGGGTAGCCTGGCCGCTCCAGCCGACCCCCGTGGCCGGCCCGGTCTGAGCTCTCGCTCTACCCGCCACCCCGGAACGCAGCTTTCTGATTGTTGAAGTGTGAGAGTGAGGGAGTCACTCCTGGAGAAATCATCGTGAGACTGAGCGAACTTCTGGCCAATGGGACAGTCACGCCGTTAATAACCTGAATTTGAACAGAACTTGTCGGGTGTCACTCCCAAAAACGCCAACGAGCCGGCTCGTTTCGCAACCGCTGCATATCAAGCAATCTTAGAGACTGCCGCCCTAACGGTACCTTGGGCGACGCCTCACCAAGCACCTGCCTACGACACCTGCCTCCCTGTGTCGTCATGATGACGTCACCCCGTAGGCCAGCCAGATGAGAGGCGGCGAGCTGTCAGCAGACTCTGATATTATCTAACGTCACATGTCCGGCTACACCTGCGCCTGTCATCTGCTGGGAGCAACCGGCCAGGCGCCAATGCCGTTGTCACTGATTACCGACCAAGCATTCCAGTCCATAATCAGCCACGGGACTGCGTCAAGTAAAGCCATACAGCCACGTCAGCGCCTCGGTCGGTATTTGACACGGACTCCACTTACAGCTCTGAGCGGGATGTAGCTGCACATGGGCACACCCAGAAGCTCGAAAGAGTGTGGGGGGGGGGGGGGGGCAGGGACATGACGTAGAATGGCCGAAGATGGATTCGCGTCACGGGGTCGGCTTGACGCGAGTTTGAGGTGTTCGGTGTCAGTGGCACGGGCGCTCCCCCCAGAGTGCATTCCTGGGCGTGCCGCTGACGCTGCAGCGCGGCAGTTAATGGGCCTGACGGGAGTGGTGCGGTCATGAACAGCGGCGCAAGAACAGCATTCCCTGAGTGACGGCGAACTGTATTCGAGCCGCGCAGAATAATAACCCTACGGGAAAAGTCGTTATCTACAGCACGCCAACGCTATAAAAAAAGCTTTAGTTGCCCGATATGCATGCCGGGAAACAGGCAGAGCTATGCACTATCGCATATAGCAAATACATTATAGCACAGGATACAGGATAACACTGAAACATGCACTTCTGTGTATGCGTATCAATCCGCAGAGCTTATTGCTGTGCCTACTTAAAGAAACCGACCAGTGAGAAAAACCCATCTTCCGTGCGCAAAACTGAAAGACTCTTCTCCGCTTTCACCCACGTGCATTATTGTCATAGGTCCACGAAATGGAGCAATCGTAGCGTGAGGGCACTCAGCAGTTAATTGGGACTCGCAGTGAATTGTCATGACTTCTGCGCCTGTTGTCGTTTCAGCGATGCGTCAATGGACGGTGCCATAAAACGGACCGATGCCATCGTAGCAGTCCGGTGGAGAAAGGAACCGATTTGGATGACAAAAGCCAGGGGAGAAGCGCTTGTCTCACGTGTTTGATAGATGTTTCCGGCGCCTATTCAAGCTTACCGTAATGAGCGGCACAAGTAGCTTGCGGATAAACCTGAACTCTGTCACACGGAAATTGGTCTCGTCACGTAATGATCCTCTTCCTTTGATAGCCGAACACAGCGAGAAAGGCGGGTCACATTCAGCTCTTGAAACATCTGCAGTGTTTTCATTCCCTCAACACCATTATCTCAGCGCTCTATTTCTACAGCCCATTCAGCGCTGCCACCGGGCCACTTGTCCACTCATTCATTCGGCTGGACAAGCGGCGGTGTAAAAACCTGCCCCCTCACCATGCCATCTCACGGCGATTGTATCGGTGCGGCTGCATTTGGAGGGCGTCTAACGGTCTTTGGCTTCCTGCAGCGGTCGAGGTGCCCGTCTTTTTGTCTTCGGCCGGATGTGTGTTCGGACGTCTACTGGCAGCGTAAAGACCTTGTGGCTTTGGTGGTACCAGTGGGCCCCCGGCTTGACAATGTGCCTATTGCGCTGCGACGGGGAAGGAAAGGATTCAGTTGAAGCTGGCTCTCTCACAGGTCGCATACGCAGATCGCTCATCGCTTTGAGACCAGTCACACGTTGCCCCGGGAGGCGTAATGGCCAAGCCGGACCTCCTAAACTATGCCTCACTGTCTTGAATGGACACCCCGGGCCCTGGACTCTTGTCATGGACGGCCTCACACCTAGACGCCTCCAGTTCTCCATCCCGCAAGCGACAGCCCCCGGCTCCACAGCCGTCGCAGCGCCGCTTCATTACCGTCCGTCCGGTCACGTGCAGCATAGCAGGCGGCGACGGCAGACCTTCCCGAGGAAAAACGACCGGGCAAAACCGCGGCCCCAGCACCAGCGGACCGCGCGGCACGCGAACTGGCCGAAGACGCCACAGTGCACCCGCCGCGTGCGTCTGTCCCCGGGTCGGTCCGGGCAGCCTCCCCGATCGGCTTCGCAGGCGCCGCGTCTCGCTCGTTCGGAAGCCGGCGGCCGCTCAGCCGCGGCCCGCCTCCCGCCCAGTGGTGGCTGGCCTGGCCGGAGGGAACGGCCCATCTGCACACCGCCCAGGGACGCCTCGTCAGTCAGCCATCCATCACAGCCAGCTGAACGCCCAACGAACCGGTCCAAACAGGAGAGGATCAGGCGGCTACCATTCGCCACGCTGGGGCGTCGGAGCCCACCGCGAACGCGGCGTAATGAGCGAGTGGTTAACGCCTTGCACTCCCACGTGGGCGCCCGGGTTCGAATCCCGGTTGCCCCCAAGCGCTAACATGCCTGATGTCGTCGCTGGTGCGCCATAAAAGGGGACGCAACATCGAGCATTACGTTGCCTTTATGAAAACGAGTGTAAGTCGGTGCAGTGGCAGCAGCCTGAAGAGGGTTGCTGGGATCCACGGAACTCCGGTGATCAGTCGGAGCACCCGCGCCACCGGCACGCTTTCTGTCGCTTTACGGCAGTCATCAACAGGGCGGGCTGTGGCGTAACACGCACGGTGGCAGTGTTGCCGACGAGCACGTCTAGTCGGCGCGGATAATCCGCTTATCAGGCAATACCAATGCGACGTAAAGCTGTCGTAATGAGCCAGCGGCGCGCGGTCGGAAAAAGCGGGCTTAAAAAGCTACATTCATTCTGATGAGGTGCGCCCATGCATATGCCGAACAAATAGCTGTTAGAGAGTTTTTGTTTTGAGACCCTTGCCGTTGTTTCCTGAAGCCGCTCATCTCCTAAAGGCAGTCATAGGTAAATCGGACGCTGTCACACGGAGTGCTCGTGATTCCTAACTGACGTTTTGTTTGCACTCGTACGAGCTCCGAGGGCTTACAGTAACATCAGCGATATTTTGATCTTTACTTTTACATTATTTCAGGAATCACAACAATGTAAACATGGTCTGTTTTCAAATCTGATCGGCGAAGACCAGTAATTTGCCAAACGTGTTATCTATCACCTTTGTTCACGACGTGCGCCGAGACGTCGATGATGCAAAACATGGACAGCAATGCCTAACGCTGAATACCGCTGCCCCCTTGAAAGATGTACGTGAAGCGCGGCATGACTGAAGAGCATTGCGGCGCTCCTTAGACGTTAAACACACCTGGACGCTATATGGGCGTTTTCAATTTAGTTTTGACATCTATCATGCTTATATACGGACGTTTTCAATTGTTTTTCAGTTCAACAATGTTGACATGGAGTAGAAATTAAGTTTCAATGTTTTGCCCGTGCGGCGACGTGGGATGCATTTCCTACTTGAAAGTCCGCGTGCACATGCACAGACGAAAAAGAGCCCATGACCATATCAGATGATCGTTCAACAGTTCCGCAGACTGACTGACAGTTCGTCAGCTGCCCACCCGAAGGACCGATGACTCCGAAGTGGTTCAGATTGGATGCACGTGATAATGCCTGCTCAGGACTTTAACCGGCTGCAGCCGCTTCATAATCGAATGCAGGTTGCGTCATCCTAATATTCGGCGATACTTAAACCGCGAGCGCATTAGAGCTGGTCACATTTCTCGTCGCCTTTTAATCGCCGCATACTCATTGGCAGCTTGTGTTCTTGCCGCAGAGCACCTTGTGTGGGTGCATCACATCATACGTCACTCCGAGGTGTAAAACCATTCAGCAGAAGAAAACTAGACAGACTGTAAACAAACCCACGTTTTGGGGCGACGGAGCGGAAACGAATGGCATCAGTTGCCCCTCGCCTCACCTAATGCTAGATAACGTCGAACAGGGCGGTGTAAATTTGATCTGCGTTGGGTTGGCTGGCACTGGTGTTTGTCGTTCTGACAGCTTAGTGTCACCGCTTAAAAATGAGCCCGATGACCGCTATCGGAGCCCCACTTTGAGCGTCATTTGTCACAAAGGGCGTCAGTACCGGAAAATATCGTGTTTGATGGATCGGAACCAGCGCCTGACGGGTGGGACACGCGCGTGAAAGGGGTTCACCGCCGAGATAAGCATGACCTGGTCAACAATTCTGGACTCCCTCCACCGTTTCACAATTCACAGCCTGCTTGCTACGGAACAGCTGACACAGCGACGCACGTGAAGCCGTTGGTGGCCCTGTGCAGAACATACCCGTGGTAGTCTTCGCCCGGGTAAATAAAGCCCTTTTCTCCTACAAGAACAAACACAATATGGCAGAGTTCACAGCTCATGCAAATGTGCCGTACAGAAATCAACTCTCTTCATTTGACACGCCATTCAAATCACCCGCACATTGCACGAAAAGAAGCCAGCAAAGCAACCATTTTGCACTGCAGCTTTCTAAAGCCGCGCCGCCGGCGCGCCAACTCTCGCGTTGCAGTTTGGTCTCGGCCGCGACGAGAAGCGTGGGCGTGCACTATGTCTGCTGCATTCCAAACAGGCTGCTCGCCGGCAGTTTACTCTGCCCGCGCGCCTCGCCGCGGCTCCACACGCGCAGCCCGCGTGCGCGGCCCTCGCGCGCGCACTGCACCCGCGCAAAGTGCGGTCTCTGACACATGGAGGACGCGCGAGCGCCGCGCGCGGGATAAGATTGGCCGAGTCAACACACCTTGTTTGCCGTTCATCGTCGTCGGCGGGCGGGCGGCGCCGCGCGCGGCCTGCGGTGTCGTCGGCACCTGCGGAGGGGCGGCACGGGTCAACGCACGTCGCTGGCGGGCGTAGCCGCCCTGCACGCCGGCCGAGCGGCACCTGGCCCTCCCGCCCACGCCCCCGCGCCGGTGACGTCACACCGGCCGGTAAACAGCCGGGCGTCGGCCGACGGAGGCGTGCCAGCCGGGCCTGAGCGTCGCTGTGGGGTCCCTGCGGGGACCTCGGCCCCACCGCGGGGGGATGCAGGTAGCTCTGGAGTGAAACGACACTGAAGGCTGAACATTCGTCAAGCACTGGGCTCCTAAAACGCACGGATGATTCCCACGCCTTTACTCGGAAACACGTTTAAGTTTAGCATCGGCAGAAACTTGTCGCAGCGTGCGAAAAATTGGTTCTCAAGAGCGGCTTGCACTTTCGGAATGCATAAGAACTTAATCTCCAAGCATACTTCCCCATGCCTGTCTTACGCCCGATCATTGATGTTCTCTGTGACTATCCAACCCAGCCAGGTGGAGTAGAGAACTGCTCAGACACCAATACCGGCCACCCGTTCGGATCCACACCAGCGTGCTGGGTCTGGCCGCCACCGTGTCCGTCCAGCCGGCTGACAGCGGTCAGTGCAGCGACCCCTCCGCCCCCGCCGCGGGTGGAGTCGACTGCGTTATCGGCCGCAGCGTGGGTGGAGCCGGCCCTGCCGCCGTCGGAACCCCGCCGTCGCTGGAGGAGATTGGCAGGGAGTTGCGCTCGTAGTGCGGCTCAAACACGATGAGAGATTGGGCGAGGTATCTGCCGGGACGGGTGGTCATGCTGTTTGATTCTCAGTTGATCCCGGGATGGAGGGTTAATTAGTTTTATGACGTGGCCTGTCCAGTCAGTAATTGGTTCAGGTTCTTCTAGTGGGACTGAAAACAAATGGGCTTGCGTAAGTTTGTGGACTTGTTTCTCTAAGCGAATACATCACCAGTTCCCGGCAGTAAATTTTCTGTCTGCTTAATTCACGTTCCAATCCCCGTTTGGAGAGGCGAACTTTCTAGAGACTGCTATTTTCGGTACGGCACATTGTCGCCCTGTACATCTGCTTTCCAGAGACTGGTATTTTCGGAACGGCAGCATTGCCACCCCGTGCATCTGCTTTCTAGAGACTGATATTTTCGGAACGGCAACATTGTTACCCAGTATATCTGCTTTCAACGCGCCATTAACCGTTTTAAAGGTTAACTCGGGCAATGGCTTGGGGGAGAAGGCACCAGCTGCACCACAGACGTTCCGGGTCATCCAAAGGCATCGCGAAGGTTACGAAAAGACAAAAACACCGGCATCTGTCATGCAATAGCGACCAACTCTCTCCGCAAGCGATGACTGCTCGCTCGAGAATGTTGTTTGTGTAAAGCTGCATCCGATTAGCGGTGTACGAGACCACGTGCTGCGTCTATCACGTCTCGGGGAATGCGCCGGCCGCAATGACTTCATCGTCCACGGAACCCGCGCCTCCATCTCAGATGGACTACCGACAGCGGGCGCGAGACCCAGTCAGGATACACCCCAGCAAGGCGGCGACACGGCGCCCTGGCGAGCCACCCGCTGAACGAAACCCTCCCCCATCGCCCGGCGCTACGCCAGTGACCGACGGCCGCAGAAGCAGCGCGCTACCCACTGGCCTGGCACCGCCGCCGCAGTGCCGGTCTGGGCCGTAACAGGTGGGCCTGTCCAGGCACTTCCGTCTCACAGCCGCGACCGACGGGTCCGACGGCCCGTCTGGGCACCGCCTTACAGCCGCGAAGGAGGAGCCCGGCGGCCTGTCTGGGCACCGCCGCCTCACAACCGCGCCGGAGGGGCCGGTGGCCTGTCTGGGCACCTCCGCCTCACAGCCGCGACGGACGGGACCGGCGGCCTGTCTAGGCACCTCCGCCTCACAGCCGCGCCGGAGGGGCCGGCGGCCTGTCTGGGCACCTCCGCCTCACAGCCGCGACGGAGGGGGCCAGTCACGATCAGGCTTCACTCGAGCGGGCCCGGTCGGCCCGTCCCAGCAGCGCCGTGCTCGGCTGGACGCGAACAATGGTGCCGTGGTCTGCCGCCGCCACCGCCACCGGACACTCCCCCTCCCTTGGACGACACGGACGGCACGGACGGCACGGACGCGGACCGCAGAACGGCACGCACAGAACGGACAGCACGGACAGCACGGACAGCACGGACGGCACGGACAGTACGAACAAATGCGGGAAGCATGGAGAAAGAGGGTACAACTGTCTGGCACCTACGACCGCAGCGCACGAGCCGCGCGCTCAAGTGAGAAGCAGCACTGCGGTCTCCTTTCTACTCATGGACGGAAAGGCCGACGGAGTACCGCTAAGAAGTAACAAAGTAACGAAGTAACCGGACGTGGTGGGGCGACACTTAACACATCGGTAATGGCGGTTATGGTGCTTGATGGGATGGTCGCTTTTGTGTTCGTAGTTGAAGCGAAAAATATGCTTTGTCAAGTCCATGGATGCGGAGTGATTGCTTAATTTTGAGTGCATCCATAACTCCCCGCGAGAATGCCATATATGTCCTTATATCCATGACATGACTCACATGGTCTGTTAAATGTAAGACGACTAATGTTTTGCCCATAAGGCTGGACGTCCATACAAGCTGCAGGACGTGTCTTTTTTGGGGAGTGGGAAGTCACGCTTAAACATGGCATAATACTTGTGTGGTTTATGACACATTCGCTATTTTCTTATACTTTCCCCAGCAACTGTTGTTAGCTGACTGGGTGGTTTACTGGCTGACTGACAAGCTGACATGCCACGGTGTGCAACAGAAGGCCTGTGGGATATGTGTCAGGCACATGCAATGGATGCCAGACCAGTGTGAGCAGCCCAAGTTTTCTTTTCTTTTCAGGTTTCTTTCTATCATTCAGCGACAAAACTTCGGGCCACTTTGCAGTGTCCCTTTCATTGCGGGGGAGCCTACGAGCACAAATGTACCCGTGTCCCGTTAGCAACGCCTGAGCGGAACTGTCGAGACAAAGCCCTAAATTTGGAATGGGCTTATCTTCTGTCCAAACACCGCCAGTCCACATCCATTCGAACGATAGGCACCGAGGTCGCGAGAGCTGACACCTCTTGCCCCGTTATGAGCGCTCCCCGGCTCCGATTACTGGTGACACTCCAACTGTGGAGGCCACCCTTCCACCCTTCCCTTCCACCTAGAAAGGAGACTGACACCCGAATGGTGGTCCGTGAACAGTGGAACCACTTGCTATGAGGTGGGCTCATTTTTATATGTGTAGACGCCAGATTTGGAATAGGCGAAGATTGGACGACAAGGTCTTCGCTGTAGGAACGGTAGCAAGGCACTGGTAGCTGTCAGCCCCATTACAATTCTGTGAGCTCAACGGCCACGGCCGAAAAAAGTTGGTTGCAGTTAAGATACCATCTTCGCATACTTTTATCCTGCGACGGAGATAACGTTTGTTGCACATAATTTCAGCATGAGGTTCATCCAAATCCATCTATCGCACTAAGCCTCCTACAAAATATCCAACTGCGTCCCGGCAACTGGCGGAAGACTGTGGGTCCAATGTTCAAGTGGGAGCTCAAACAAAGCCAGTCTTCAATGCGTGTGAAGAACGCAGGTGACTCGGCTACATCGATCCAGAGTTCTGATAACGGCGGAAGATGAACAACAGATGGTATAGCCGGAAATTTACCGTTTGTCCCAGCTGCCGTTCAAGTCGTCGTCGCGGTCAGGAGTGCAGAGTCGGGAGTCGGGAGTCGGTGGCCGGGAGTGGGGAGTGGGGAGTCGAGAGAACAGAGTCTGCTTGTGATATGAATGTTACGACTGCATTATGCGCTGGAGTCTGGAGGGCAAAAATGTAAAACGGAATCTGCTGATATGATAAATGGGTTGCAAATTTACGAAGAGATTCTTTGGCCGCAAGTAGACCACGCCAACGTCGGCAAATTTTGTTGGCGACGGGTGTTCCTATCCCGGGAAAACCGAAGGCCTCCGAATCGGACACGCCTTCGTAGGCATACCGTCAAGTTTAGAAAAAAAACCAGGTAATACTGCTCCCTTCAAAAACATCCCCTTTTTGGCCAAAAGCCAAACGCCGCCATGGTTCGTGCCATGTGGCCGTCCTCGGGGTGGGCCCGCGGACCCCCGCGGTCGCAGAGGTCAAGTGGGTGGTCTGGCGTCCGACGCCGCGCCAGCAGGAACCACACGCGACGCGGCCAGCTCCCGGAGACCGGCCAGGAATTAATCAGACTCGCTGCCGCGCCTAAGGCTCTCTCTCTCTCTCTCTCTCTCTCTCTCTCTCTCTCTCTCTCCCTCTCTCTCTCCCTCTCTCTCTCTCTCTCTCGCTCCCGGCTGACAGATGTCGACCGTGCCGAGCTGGCGCGCTCTTGGCTCGACCTGGCGCGCTCTTGGACCGGGCTGGCGCGCTTTTGAGCCGAGCTGGCGCACTCTTGGGTCGAGCTGGCGCGCTTTTAGGCCGAGCTGGCACGCTCTTGGGCCGGGCTGGCGCGCTTTTGAGCCGAGCTGGCGCACTCTTGGGCCGGGCTGGCGCGCTCTTGGGTCAGGCTGGCGCGCTCTTGGGCCGGGCTGGCGCGCTCTTGGGCCGAGCTGGCGCGCTCTTGGGTCGAGCTGGCACGCTCTTGGGCCGGGCTGGCGCGCTTTCGGGCCGACCAGGCTTCCGACCAGAGGGCTTCCACGCCGGTCGCGTGCGCAGCGCACGATGTGGCAGACCAGCTGCACAGTCGGGCGATACTTCGTGCTGCCGCTCGCGCTCATAAAGCCGAGCAGAGCGGCTAACGCCAACAGCTAATCCGCGGGCGGGCAAGCCGCAATACCAGAAGAGGGAGAGCTGGTATTCGGATGGGTCGGATGGTGGACAGTGCCGACACCTGAGGCCCGCTACACCAGCCCGCGATGAACGGAGGCTGACCTGGTGCGCTCACTGGGACGGAGCGAATTTACGGATCGGTGCTCACGGCCGACGCTCAGGGAGACCGGACGCACAACGCAAGGAGACCAT